AGCAGAGTAAGCCTGCTTCCCAGTTTGGACTTCTCTGATGACATCCACCCCTTGGCGCTCACATGACCTTATGCAGTTGTGAGTGCCGTAAAACCTTACCAAAACAAACAAATCATGCGCTGAAAAGCAAATGTAAAGTGAACTCCAGTTTGGTTTTCTCTCTTTTCTCAGTGATATGTTGTGGCGTCGGTGGCCTAGTGGTTAGGCTACCGGACTCGTAATCGTGAGATTGCTGGTTCGGGGGTTCGAGCCTCAGCTCGGTCCGACGTTGTGACCTTGGGAGAGACACTTTACACTAATTTCCCATTTGGCTTGGTCCTTTCGGAGACGGAGGTTAAACTCGGAGGCCCCGCCTCTTAAATAACCTAATAGTGTTGATAGGGGCGTTAAACCTGTACAATTTCTTTCAGGGATATCTGAGGAAAACCTGGCAAAGCTGGTCCAGCACGCCCAGATCCCGATGGAAGAAAAGTGCATCATCACCAACACGCAGAACTTGGGGGTTCCCATCATCCAAGACGTAAGTTTGTCTTGACCGTAGTCGCTGACCTAGTGCTAGTGCCTCCTAGTTAGATATCTGTGTGTGTGTGTGTGTGTATGTGTGTGTGTTCCTCTGCTGTCTGTTTCTCACTCGTTTGTGTGTGTGTGTGTTCCTCTGCTTTCTTTGTCTCACTTGCGCGCGCGTGTGTGTGTGTGTGGTTTGTTGTGTTATTAGTTTAGCTTCATCATAGTCACAGACCTAGCGCTAATGCCTCGTAGTTAGCTGTGTGTGTGTGTGTGTATGTGTGTGGTTTGTTGTGTTTTTAGTTGTGTTATTAGTAGAGATTTTGTGATGGATTTCTGCGGTAGGAGAATGCGTATGAGTTTCTTTTGTGACTTACTAGCTCTCTGTCTGACGTGTGTCGTACACTGCATCTCTTAAATGTGTCCTGCATCTGTCACATGTGTCATACACTGCATCTCTTAAATGTGTCCTGCATCTGTCACATGTGTCATACACTGCATCTCTTAAATGTGTCCTGCATCTGTCACATGTGTCGTACACTGCATCTCTTAAATGTGTCCTGCATCTCTCACGTGTGTCTTATGTGTGTCGTTCACATGTGTTGCACAATGCATCTTGTCACATGTGCCGTACACTGCATCTCTCACATGTGTCGTACAATGCATCTGTCGTGCACTTGTGTTATACACTGCATTTGTCACATGTGTCGTTCATCGCGCACATGTGTCAAGTCATGTGTGTTGTTCACGTGTGTCATACACTGCATTTGTCACATGTGTCGTTCATCGCGCACATGTGTCAAGTCATGTGTGTTGTTCACGTGTGTCATACACTGCATTTGTCACATGTGTCGTTCATCGCGCACATGTGTCAAGTCATGTGTGTCGTTCACGTGTGTCGTACACTGCATCGTCTCGTGACCAGTCTCTGCGCTAACTGCCTGTGCCCTGTGACCCAATGGGCATGCCTGGGTTTTTGTTGTTTTTTCGTACGGGAAGAGACGTAGAGGATTGTGGGGGGAGAGATTTGTTCTTATGGGTTGTTGTTAAAACCACGTGTTTTAGTTCCTCTCTATGAACTGAGTGGGGTATATGTCATGTTTACGTAATTTAGGTCACTTTGTGGGCCAAGCTTTTTGAAAAACGTGACATCACTTACTGTCAGTTTCGTGCGGTGGGTAAAAATAGATTTAACTGTCTGTGAATTATATTTTTCCATGAGCTGATTGGTGACAAATTGTGGGTGGTTGGCGGATGCTCTGGTGTGGTTTGCTCCTTCTTTCCTATCTGTTGTCCTTATCTCTCCTCCTCCTTTTTTATGTTTGTTACTCTCTAATCTTTGGCGCTTATATGACCTTATTGTGTTGCAAGTGCTTTAAAACTCTTACTAAAACTAAATGTATTGTTTTGTTTTTGTATTGACTGTGTGTTGTAATTGTTTGGTGCAGCGGTGTGTTTGTTGCGACTGCAGTGTCAACCATTGTTTGTTGTTGTTCAGCGTACGCCACTCGTCCACGAATGATGAATGCTGCTTGTTTCCCTGGCGGCCACGGTTTTGCGTCTCTGGCGCGTCGCTCCGTTCTGTCTGTTGACCTTCACCTGGTGCACGTGTCTGGATTCCCTCACCTGGTGCACGTGTCTGGATTCCTTCACCTGGTGCACGTGTCTGGATTCCTCTAGAATTCTTGTGTAGCACCGTGCGGCACCTTTCTGTATGCCCCTTCATTACCACTGTTTAGGGGTGCCACTTGGGGGACTATTTTACCGTAACCACCAATCTCCGAAGCCACTAGGGCTATTTCAATTTTGTTTCCATTGTCAAAGTGCTGTGGTGTGGTTTGCTCCTTCTTTCCTATCAAACGTCTATCGTCCTTATCTCTCCTCCTTCTTTGTTGTGTTTGTTACTATCTTGTAACGCCTCTAATCTTTGCCACTTAAATGACTTTGTTGTGGTGCAAGTGCCGTAAAACTCGTACTAAAACTTCAAAAAACCCTGTGTTCCTACAACTCTACTGTCCCGTGTGAGAATCTTGTACCCTGGCGTGTCGTTGTGGACAGCACATGTGGCAGGAATGTTAACCTCCCTGTGAAGGGTGTAGGTTCGGGGCTAGATGGAAGTGGCACCTCTAATGACTTTTGTGGCTGTGTTTTGTCTCCTTTCTCTGTGTTTTCTCAAATGAATTTTTTGATTTGAAAACTTCAAGGAAAGTCTAGAGGATGATATAGTTGCCATAGTACAAGATATTGTAGAGGTAAGCTGCTTTGTACAGATCTCTTTTCCTTGTGCGCCGGCAAAGATCGTACATAGCAAGATAGTTCACTCAGCCCAAAAAGTGTCTGCGGAAGTCCGCCCATTGGTTCAGACGATGCTGCAGTCTTTGTTTTGAAGCTCTCTTTTGTTTCTCCAGAAAAAGAATAGGAATAGCACAGTTTGTTCGTTTCACTTTTATTGTATTTCACACAAGTAGGATAACTCTGTTCGCAAAGTCCGCACTTTTTCGAAGAGGGCGCAGCCGAATTTTGGGGACACTTTTTGAATTGGCTCAAAGAGAGGAGTGAACTATCTTGTTATACCCGATCTTTGGCGTTGGTGAAGTCTTGTGAGAGTCGTTATTGGTGCGGTGGCTTGAGTTTGTCATGTGCTGTTTGGTGCGGTGGCTGGAGTTTGTCATGTGCTGTTTGGTCACGTGCTGTTGGATGGTCTTGTAATGGTCTTGTTGGTAGGTACAAGTTATCTGGTGTCCTCGTTTCTGGTGGGTCGAGGGTGTCACTGGTAGGTCCTACTTCTTTACTTTCCTTCTTTTGTTTCTGTGTGTGTGGGTGGTTGGAGGGTGTCGCTGGTAGGTCCTACTTCTTTACTTTCCTTCTTTTGTTTCTCTCTGTTTGGTGGGTGGTTGGAGGGTGTCGCTGGTAGGTCCTACTTCTTTACTTTCCTTCTTTTGTTTCTCTCTGTCTGGTGGGTGGTTGGCGGGTGCTCTGGTGTGGTTTGCTCCTTCATTCCTATCAAACATCTATCGTCCTTATCTCTCTTTCTTCTTTTTTGTGTTTGTTACTCTCTTGTAACACCTGTAATCTTCGGCACTTATATGACCTTATTGTGTTGCGCAAGTGCCGTAACTCTCTTACTAAGACAAAGGAGGGTGCCAACAGTAGGCTGTTTCTTGTTCTTCCCTCTGTTCTTTCTGTCTGCCTGTCCTTCTCTTTCTCAGCCCACTGTGCCTGTTGTTGCGTAGATGTGCTTCTATTTGTGCCGACAAATCAGCCTACGCCCACTGTGACTGTTTCCTGGACTAGATCTGTGTTGTTTGTTGTGATCCTCGCTGACGCCAACAGCTGAGGGTAGGCTCAACAGAACGCGACCTCAGTGCTTTCTTGTCCTATCTCCATTTTTTTAAACAGTGAAAATGTAACTTCTTCTGAAGCTCACTCTTTTTTATGAACTGTTTTCACTGTTATGAAAAATGGAGATAGGACAAGAAAGCACTGAGGTGGCGAGAAAGTTGAGCTGTTTCCCTTTTGGCGTCGTCTTTAGTGTCGTGACTTCCCTCGGACATGATGTTTGGCGTCATCTTTAGTGTCGTGACTTCCCTCGGACATGGTGTTTGCCCCACTGTGTGCCGATGTCACTAGAGAGCTTCCTGCCACCGCCGCCATCTTGTCGGTCGTTCTGTCTTGTGGCATCAGTGTTGTGAGCCCCCCCCCACCCCGTGTATCCCCTGTGTATCTCTCGTGTATCCCCTGTGTATCTCTTGTGTATCCCCTGTGTATCTCTCGTGTATCTCTCGTGTATCCCCTGTGTATCTCTTGTGTATCTCTCGTGTATCCCCTGTGTATCTCTCGTGTATCCCCTGTGTATCTGTCGTATATCCCCTGTGTATCTCTCCTGTATCCCCTGTGTATCTCTCCTGTATCCCCTGTGTATCTCTCCTGTATCCCCTGTGTATCTCTCGTGTATCCCCTGTGTATCTCTCGTGTATCCCCCTCTGCGTTCCCCCCGTGTGCCCTTGCCATAGGTCTTGTCGTGTGTAGTGTGTTTAGAAGTGCAGTCAAGACTTGTCGTGTTGTGTCGTGCCTGCTCGCGACCTGTACTTTCTTGTCCTGTCTCCATTTTTTTTAGCATTGAAAACGTGACTTTTTCTTAAGCTCACTCTTTTATGAACTGTTTTTACTGTTTAAAAAAAAATAATTTAAAAATGGAGTGGGTGGTTGGAGGGTGCTCTGGTATGGTTTACTTCTTCTTTCCTATCAAACATCTATCGTCCTTATCTCCCCTTCTTCTTTTTTTGTGTT